CTGTAGTGGTGAGAGAGAGAGAGAGAGAGAGAGAGAGAGAGAGAGAGAGAGAGAGAGAGAGAGAGAGAGAGAGTCCTCCCCATTATCCCGAGCACAGTTTCAGGCAACTATGGGTCACATCCTGTAAAATCTTGTGAGTGGGACATCAGAAAAAATATTCCTTCATAACTAAAAGAAAATCAGAAAACTTCGCCCTGAGAATAAATCCTAATGCTGGGTTTAATTAAAAAGTTTTCCTCTTTTGCCTGAGTATTGCTCTCTCTCTCTCTCTCTCTCTCTCTCTCTCTCTCTCTCTCTCTCTCTCTCTCTCTCTCTCTCTCTCTCTCTCTCTCTCTCTCTCTCTCTCTCTCTCTCTCGCTTCCCTCATCCCTAACTTTATCTTCTCTTTCTCGTATCACAAACGTTTCTATTCCTCGTTTTCCTCTTGTAGTGACAATTATCATATATTGTTTCCGTCAGTCAGATATTCTTTCCTGCTCTTGGACATAATTTGCATTTCACCAAATTTTGTCCAAATTGGTCAAAAATACTTATAATAGAAATAGCCTCGTGAAGTGAACTAAATGGGAGTATTATACATGGCTGTAATGTATAATATCATGTATATGTAATACATAATATGAAATATGTAAAGAATAATAATAGCTGAATATATCAAATATCCTGAGTGCGTTTGCTAACAAAAACAGTCTAAACTTCCTTACGATACTCTGTGTGGGTTTTTTGTTTTGTTTTTGCAATATTATTTTGCAGTAGAACATCATTTTGTTAATACATATTATTTCATGTTCTACGAGGACCTCGAGAATGGGAATTTTATTTCAAGTCAACAGTTCGATAAGCCTTCGCAAAATCGACCGAATAATTTTGTTCTGTTTTTTTCAAGATTGTAAACTGGTGACTGTTTCCTCATAAATGAGTTTTTTCTTCCTGTTTATTGTGTCTAGAGTCCGTTTTTTTTAGGACTTTTGTAATGAGGTCACTGAGGATGCTTTGAGTGTGTGAGGAAACGGAGCGTGAGTGTATGAGGAAGCGGTGAGTGTGTGAGTAAGCGGTGAGTGAGTACAGAGAGTGAGAGAGTGAACGACACAGTAGTAGCGATAAGAGACAAGAGCTGGTGGAAGAGGCTTGCAAGTAAGAGTGTGTGTATATACAATTCAAGAGTCAAGATCTTACAAAGAGACAAGATACTGCTGATCTTGCCTCACTCTCACTCCGGCGGTGCCCGGGACTCTTTTTTTTTTATCTCCCAATGTTCGAATTTGTAACGTATCTGGTCCTAAAGTTGTGAATAGAGGTGGCTTCCACTACCTCCTCTTTCAATGCATTAAATTTGAACCCTATACGGGTGATCAACGATTATTTCCTTGTATTTCTACGACTCATTTGCGTATCCAGCTTCCATCTACGCCTTCTACTTTATCCTCTTTTCTCTCACTTAAATGAGGCCGGCCTTATCCATCTCGTTTATTCTCCCTCTCAGTATCATGTATATACTGATCATGTCCTCTCTCTCTCCAGGTATATATAGTTGTACGTATGCATGCATGTAAATATGTATATTTGCATGTGTGTATATATTTGTATGTATGATCCTCCACTCTTTTTGTCATCTTTCCATTTGCTCTTGAATCATTCACTCCTTTTCCTTCTCCCCGTGTTCTATATATATTTCTACTCCATTTTCTTCGCCTTCCTCATATTCCTTGATCTTATAATAATAATTATAATAACAAAAATAATGATAATAAAAATAATAATAAAAATAATAATAAAAAATATTAATAAAAATGTTTAAGATATTAAAATATTAATAATAAAAGTAATAGTATTAATTAAAAATAAAATTTATTCTTTTCATCCTCTTCTCCTTACATCTACTTCTCCCATCTACTTTTCCCCCCCTCAATCATCTACCCTCATATCTACCATTCGCATCTATTTCCCCCCTTTCCTACCGGAAAATGAAAATGGTGCCTGCATACCTCTGGTTGCTCCTTGGGTGTTGGGAGTGTATGTTAGCCTTCTCTTTTTTCCCCCAGGGACCGGGGTTCGAACCCATTCGCCAATTTCCGCTTTCACCGCAGATCTTCCCTCCTGATCTCACGTTTTGTAGCCCAGGAGCTTTTTAAATTCACTTTCTCGCGTCTTTTTTTTCTCTTACTAAGATTAGAAAGGTTTTTGATACTTGGATGCATTGAGTCTTTGTTTGCCTGATCTTTGCACTGATTTCAGCTTTAGCTGAAACCTTGTTTCGCATTTTGTTGTGTTCTTTCTGTATCTCTCTTCCTTTCTCTACTTCTAGATTCCTTTCTCTACTTCTAGTGTCTCTATTTCTCTCTCTCTCTCTCTCTCTCTCTCTCTCTCTCTCTCTCTCTCTCTCTCTCTCTCTCTCTGTCTGTCTGTCTGTCTGTCTGTCTGTCTGTCTGTCTGTCTGTCTGTCTGGTCTGTCTCTCCTCTCTCTCTCTCTCTCTCTCTCTCTCTCTCTCTCTCTCTCTCTCTCTCTCTCTCTCTCTTCTCTCTCTGTCTGTCTGTCTGTCTGTCTCTCTCTCTCTCTCTCTCTCTCTCTCTCTCTCTCTCTCTCTCTCTCTCTCTCTCTCTCTCTGTCTCTGTCTGTCCTGTCTGTCTGTCTGTCTCTCTCTCTCTCTCTCTCTCTCTCTCTCTCTCTCTCTCTCTCTCTCTCTCTCTCTCTCTCTCTCTCTCTCTCTCTCTCTCTCTCTCTCTTAAGAGTTCTTCATAAGTTGGTGGTCTTCTTGTTTCTACCCACTTCAAGACCCCGAGCCAACGCAGAGACAGAATATAATAATAATATTTTAATATTAATTCAAATAAACCAATTTGGAAGCACATTTTTGAAAAATCACTCTGCCTATTATGCAAATCGGGTCTTGCATACTAGGTCGAGTAATGTCTCGTTATCTTAAGTTATTCGTATATTCACTTGTTTCCATAGTTATGCTGTGCTATCTACTTTTGCTTCTTTATCAGCCTGTTTGCTTCGTACACCAAGCTCTATTGGTGGTCACTACAAGCTCTGTTGGGTGGTCACTGTAAGCTCTATTAGATGGTCACTATAAGCTCTATTGGGTGGTCACTATAAGCTCTATTGGGTGGTCACTACAAGCTCTATTGGTGGTCACTACAAGCTCTATTGGTGGTCACTACAAGCTCTATTGGGCGGTTACTAGAAGCTCTATTGGGTGGTCACTATAAGCTCTATTGGGTGGTCACTATAAGCTCTATTGGGTGGTCACTACAAGCTCTATTGGTGGTCACTACAAGCTCTATTGGTGGTCACTACAAGCTCTATTGGTGGTCACTACAAGCTCTATTGGGTGGTCACTACAAGCTCTATTGGGTGGTCACTACAAGCTCTATTGGTGGTCACTACAAGCTCTATTGGGTGGTCACTACAAGCTCTATTGGGTGGTCACTACAAGCTCTATTGGGTGGTCACTACAAGCTCTATTGGGTGGTCACTACAAGCTCTATTGGGTGGTCACTACAAGCTCTATTGGGTGGTCACTACAAGCTCTGTTGGGTGGTCGATACAAGCTCTATTGGGTGGTCACTACAAGCTCTATTGGATGGTCACTACAAACTCTATTGGGTGGTCAATACAAGCTCTAATGAGTAGTCACTACAAGCTCTATTGGGTGGTCTCTACATGCTCTCTTGAGTGGTTACTACAAGCTCTATTGGGTGGTCTCTACATGCTCTCTTGATGGTCACTATAAGCTCTATTGGATAGTCACTACAAGCTCTATTGGGTGGTCACTACAAGCTCTATTGATGGTCACTATAAGCTCTATTGGATAGTCACTACAAGCTCTATTGGGTGGTCACTACAAGCTCTATTGGGTGGTCACTACAAGCTCTGTAGGATGGTCAATACAACTCTCTTAAGTGGTCAGTACACCAAGCTCTGTAAACGATCATTATTACCAAGCTAAAAAAAAAATAAAAATCCACCATATTCGTGAAATATATTCAACTATAAAAGCAGTGAAAATACAATATCAGTTTCTCAACCCAAATTTTGAGGGGGAATGGCAGTGAAAAATTGGGTTACTCGGTGTCTCGTTTCACTCAGCTGAGTGCTCTCTTTAACCACTAACGTTACTACTTACCTCTAGGCGATTGTCAGGAGGTAATTGGGTCGTTTGTCTGCGGTGGAACGAACGAGGATCGTACTTGGAGAACCTTATGCGCACTTCACTTAGTGGTCATATTTTCAAACACCCTAACGAATGATATCGTTACTAATAAGACTATTGTATTTCACTGCATTTTTAATGCAGTAATGACTAATAATAAAACAGTTTCCGTAACTAAAATAATTAGAGGAATACAATATTATGTGATTAATAATAAAATTATTTAAAAATAAAAGTGTTTATAGTAATCTAAACAGAAAATCATCAAGTATAATAAAGGAAATAAAGTCTTCACGGTACAAAATAAAACTACAGCCCCAAAAAAAAAAGATTTCAAAAGTTGGTCACATAAATGAATTATTTAGTTTCAAAGGAACATCGTCAGAATTTTTTTTTTACCTGTAATGGTTAAATATTGGAGGATTTTTTTCTGTAATTTCTCACTATTTTGTTTTTTGTATTCTAGTCGAAGCTGAAACTACATTAGTCTCAATTTCTTTCCTTAAAACCAATGGTTAAAAGTTCACACGCCACTGCAGTCGATTACACTTTATGATTACTAACAAGGACGAACCTCTAATCACCATACCGTGCTAACTGCAGTTAGTTTTCAAGGCTCGCGTTAACTAGGGATGATTAAGGGAAAGGAGGAGAAAGGTGATTGTCCTCGCGAGGCGCGACCTGACAGGGAAAATAGTTAGCTGCGTGTGTTGAGGGGAGAGGAGGTGGAGAGACTTTAGGAGTGAATGCAGCACCACACCGCGTGCGACCCGCTCCCTACGACGGCTGGAGGAACACTGACGGCCGGATCTCTCGCAGACCCTCAGCCGCCGCCGCCAACGGTCAAAAATTGACGCCGCCGCCGCCGCCGTCACTATCACTGTCATCACTATCATTGTCATTATCACTGTCATCACTATCACTATCATTGTCATCACTATCACTGTCATCACTATCACTGTCATCACTATCACTGTCATCATTATCACTGTCATCACTATCACTGTCATCACTATCATTGTCATCACTGTCATCACTATCACTGTCATCACTATCATTGACATCACTATCATTGTCATTATCACTGTCATCACTATCACTATCATTGTCATCACTATCACTGTCATCACTATCACTGTCATCACTATCACTGTCATCACTATCACTGTCATCACTATCACCGTCATCACTATCACTGTCATCACTATCACTGTCATCACTATCACTGTCATCACTATCACTGTCATCACTATCACTGTCATCACTATCACCGTCATCACTATCACCGTCATCACTGTCACTGTCATCACTATCACCGTCATCACTATCATTGTCATCACTACACCGTCATCACTATCACTGTCATCACTATCACTGTCATCACTATCACTGTCATCACTATCACCATCATCACTATCACCGGCATCACTATCACCAACATCACAATCACCACATCCACTAACACACGTTAGTACACTCACTATCATACACACACTCCATACATATACACTAAAATCTACACATACATACATGTGCCTCTCATGATTGCCTATATATAACCTACAAGAGACCAACATCTGAATACGCAACTCCGGCATGGAAAAGCTGAGGGAACTAAAACTCCAACACAGGAGACGAGGAAAAGTAGGGACATGACAACGACGTAAAAAATTATAATGTGAAATGACACAGCAGACAGATAAGCCATATTCAAAGCTAAAAACGAAGCTACCAGAAAGAACTTTTTCACTGCTTGAGTGTTGGTTATACAACGAATTATGCAACAATGTTCCAGAATAAGATAGTAAAACAAATCTACCTTTATCCAAATATTTATGTCTGGGAAAAGCAATGTCGTAGAAGTGGCATACATATTTGCATATTATTATGATTGTACGAGTACTGGCCTCGTAGAGTTTGGGTAAGCAGCGTATTCTGGATGGCGGAGCTCAGATCCGCATGATACAATGTATGTATCGTATTGGTTTGTGGGGCGTGTCTCCCTGTCTTGTTTGGGTCTGTCTCTCTCTCTCTCTCTCTCTCTCTCTCTCTCTCTCTCTCTCTCTCTCTCTCTCTCTCTCTCTCTCTCTCTCTCTCTCTCAACTTTCGACATCATAACATTTCACGATATGACAAGCAAAAAAACTAATTTATAACTCACAGTTTAGTCAACGATATTCCAAGCTTGCGTAGGTGGAAAGTTTGGCACAGTGACACCCTTTTCTTTGACGTCTATCTCATGCTGCCCATGTTGGGCACGTACCCAACAATAGTTACTTGGATTTATACAAACAAGTAGCATTTTAAGTCGATTTCGTTAAGAAAAGCGACGTATTAAGTGGGAGGACAGTTTGATTCCTTGTTCTCCTATTATCGTGCTATCCTGTTATCCTATAGTGTTAAATAGTGTTATCCTATCCTGTTATCGTGACCCGCGTCACCACTGGAAAGATAAAACTGCCCTAAAGAACAAAATTATATTTAATAAAATAGGATTTAGATTTAGATATAAAACTAAATAAATAAAACAGATTTAGATATATATGTAAAACATCGTTGCCAGACGAGTCATCTGTCAGCTGTGCAACTGACAGCTGTGTAACTGACAGCTGTGTAACTGTCAGCTGTGTAACTGACAGCTGTGTATCTGACAGCTGTGTAACTGTCAGCTGTGTATCTGACAGCTGTGTAACTGACAGCTGTGTAACTGACAGCTGTGTAACTGTCAGCTGTGTATCTGACAGCTGTGTATCTGACAGCTGTGTAACTGACAGCTGTGTAACTGACAGCTGTGTAACTGTCAGCTGTGTAACTGACAGCTGTGTAACTGACAGCTGTGTATCTGACAGCTGTGTAACTGACAGCTGTGTAACTGACAGCTGTGTAACTGACAGCTGTGTAACTGACAGCTGTGTATCTGACAGCTGTGTATCTGACAGCTGTGTATCTGACAGCTGTGTAACTGACAGCTGTGTAACACCATGACTGAGTGAGCATCTCCTTCGAAGAACAGTAATGTATTCTTAGACTATTTTCTCGTGAATATAATTGGAATTTTAATTAGAATTGTTATTACTTTTATTATTATTATTGTTATGCCATCATGCAATATAGAAAAAAGAGGAAAAGAGTAAAAAAAGAGAGAGGGACGAGAGGTAAAAAGAGTTAGCGAAATAGAAGGGTAAGAGATTGAGAAAGGGAGAGTGGAGGAGGAAGAGAGAGAGATAGAGATTGAGAGAGACACTCATAATGGCTCATCAACTTGTTGAGCCGGCCCACTGCGCCATAACGTGGTAGGATCATCCTATGATATAGTCCCCCCTCTTTAAGAGTAGACAGTCCCACACTCTGTGTTCCTCTTCACTGAGAAAGAAAACGTGCTTCACGTTTCGGTTCACTCTTTAAGCTATCAATAGCTTTGCTGTGTGAAAAATAAAGCGCTTTCTCAACATAGATTTTGGTCATTTTATTATTATAGGTAAGGGATTCGTATATGTATAATTTTGTAAGTAATAAATGATTGCAGTGAATGCAGGGAGTAATTTTTATTACAGGAGTATATCGCGACATATATTATTGGTGATATAAATTATTTCAAGCGATTAAATTTTGCTGTACAGTCTTGAACGACCAGGAGATGCAGTTTACGACTCTTCCTGTCGTCGTCCGTCGTGTTATTTTACGGATACGACCAATCCGTTGGTAAATAAGATATTTACGTTAATTAATAAGATATTGACGTTTTCTGTGAATTGTCCTCGAGGGGTAACTGTACTTGTGTACGTCTCACGTTGGGTGAGACGTAGAATCTGGCGACGGAATCCATTCACCGTGATCTTACTCTTACTCAACACCTTCCGGATCTCGGAATATCAGGGAGTTGGAACTTTGCCTTGGGAACGGGGTGTACCATTGCCACTGATCGTATCCACCTGAAGATGAAACTCGGAGTAGTTTGATCGTATTCAAGTACCGGAACTTGAACTTATAGGTTCTGAACCTCTGAACTGGTTCAGAGCCTATCTTTTTGCTTCATAATGTTTCTTTCAAGGCAATCAGCCAACATTTGATATATTACGCTGTATTTCAGAGCAAATTTTAGGTAAAATTCCTTTCAAACGTCCTGAATTCTGCATATTTTTCATTCATATGAAATTCTGTCTGAAGGGAAATGATCCTATGAAATTCACAAGATCAAAATTACGATTCCTGAATATTGCAAATCGTTTAGAACCATACCAGACAGCGCACGCATTTTCAGACAGTCAGAAAGACAGTCCAGACACACACCCACGCACATACACACATATATATACACAGACAGACATATAGACAGCCGAAAAAAAAATAAAACTAGTAGACATAGTCCTTAAAAGTAAAACAAATATATATCAAGATCTCCAAAGCGAGTCTGAGTACAAATTCACGTAGGAGAATTTAGGTCAGCATTTGCAACAAAAACTTTGGACAAATTTCAAACGGATGCGCGCTAGTAATTTTTGATAATGTTTGCATGTGTGGAACACCGCTCAGAGGAGACCCGGAGGTCATCCCGCGCGTGCTGGGACAACCAGAGGGTGTAAGGAGAGTTTCAACCTTATGAACCAGCGAAGAGAACCCGTGGAAAGGCGGAAAGAAAGTTGCGCAGCGCTACGGAGGAATGGCTTAGCTCTATGTGGCACTGCGTGTGTGTGCGTGTGTGTGTGTGTGTGTGTGTGTGTGTGTGTGTGTGTGTGTGTGTGTGTGTGTGTGTGTGTGTGTGTGTGTGTGTGTGTACTCACCTAGTTAATCACCTTGTTAATTCCTCTGAGAATTTTGTTGGTAGTGATCATGTTTCCATTTACTCTCCTGTCTTCTATTGTCACCACTGTGTGTGTGTGTGTTTTAATGCTTGTCGGTGTGGAAATTTTGGATATAATGACGTGTGTTTGTTTGTGTTTGCGTGATTTAGAGCTGGTTGGAAGCTGTTTTTTTTAAGTATGTTTGTGTGCGAGTTTTGTAAAGTTGTGAATTTAAACAGACAGACAGACAGACAGACAGACAGACAGACAGACAGACAGACTGACAGACAGACAGACAGGCAGGTCGGTAAGCAATCAGAAACGGTGATTGGCTGCCTGATATAGACATAGGTCATTAGATAGTTTGTCACACACACACACACACACACACACACACACACACACACACACACACACACACACACACACACACACACACACACACACACACACACCATCTCTACTATCATACCATCCAGCTAGCCACCAGTTTCGTAACACAGTTACCTGTTCACTGTCAGGGACTGGCGGCCTAATGAAAATGCAGATTAAATTTGAACTGTAGATGAGTCCAAATGTATCCAGAAGACTTGAATGTCTGACTGTAACAGGAACACCTTCTGCAACTTGGTTGGAGTGGTTGGGGGACACTTTGAGGTGTGAGTGAGTGGTTGGAGACACTTTGAGGTGTGAGTGAGTGGTTGCAGGCACTCTGAGGTGTTAGTGAGTGTTTGGAGACACTTTGAGGTATGAGTGAGTGGTTGCAGGCACTCTGAGGTGTTAGTGAGTGTTTGGAGACACTTTGAGGTGTGAGTGAGTGGTTGGAGACACTTTGAGGTGTGAGTGAGTGGTTGCAGGCACTCTGAGGTGTTAGTGAGTGTTTGGAGACACTTTGAGGTGTGAGTGAGTGGTTGGAGACACTTTGAGGTCTGAGTGAGTGGTTGTAGGCACTTTGAGGTGTTAGTGAGTGGTTGGAGACACTTTGAGGTGTGAGTGAGTGGTTGGAGACACTTTGAGGTGTGAGTGAGTGGTTGGAGGCACTTTGAGATGTGAGTGAGTGTTTGTAGGCACTTTGAGGTGTTAGTGAGTGGTTGCAGACACTTTGAGATGTGAGTGAGTGGTTGGAGACACTTTGAGGTGTGAGTGAGTGGTTGCAGACACTTTGAGATGTGAGTGAGTGGTTGGAGACACTTTGAGGTGTGAGTGAGTGGTTGCAGACACTTTGAGGTGTGAGTGAGTAGTTGTAGGCACTTTGAGGTGTGAGTGAGTGTTTGGAGACACTTTGAGAAGTGAGTGAGTAGTTGGAGGCACTTTGAGATGTGAGTGAGTGGTTGGAGACACTTTGAGATGTGAGTGAGTGTTTGCAGACACTTTGAGATGTGAGTGAGTGGTTGGAGACACTTTGAGGTGTGAGTGAGTGTTTGGAGACACTTTGAGATGTGAGTGAGTGTTTGCAGACACTTTGAGATGTGAGTGAGTGTTTGCAGACACTTTGAGATGTGAGTGAGTGTTTGCAGACACTTTGAGATGTGAGTGAGTGGTTGCAGACACTTTGAGATGTGAGTGAGTGGTTGGAGACACTTTGAGGTGTGAGTGAGTGTTTGCAGACACTTTGAGATGTGAGTGAGTGGTTGCAGACACTTTGAGATGTGAGTGAGTGGTTGCAGACACTTTGAGGTGTGAGTGAGTGGTTGCAGACACTTTGAGATGTGAGTGAGTGTTTGTAATTACGTGTAATTGTTTGTCTATTTTTTTCTTTGCGAAGGTTTAATGAGATATAGAAGATGGCCTATAATATCTATTGACGTATATTGTCTATTGGTATGTGTGTGCGTATGTTGTCTATTGGTACTTGTGTGTGCGTATATTGTCTATTGGTACTTGTGTGTATATTATGTACATGTACGTATGCTATCGTTTGTAAATGTTTGTATATTGTGTATGTGTGTAAACATTGTTTGTTATAGCTTAGTATGTTAGAATAATTAGCGTATATTGAGCTCTGCTCTTTCGGTCCGCCTCTCAACTGACAATCAATCAACTGTTACTAACTACTTTTTTTTCACACACACTTCCAGGAAGCAGTCTAATTCCAGGTACCTATTTACTACTAGGTAACAGGGGCATGAGGGTGAAAGAAACTCTGCCATTTGTTTCTGGCTCCGCCGGGAGTCGAGCCCGGGCCCTTAGGACTACGACTCCCGAGCGCTGTCCACTCAGCCACAAGGCCCCTGTATGTGTGTGTGTGTGTGTGTGTGTTTATGTGTGTGTGTTTATGTGTGGGTGTGTGTTTATGTGTGTGTGTGTGTGAGTGTGTGTATGTGTGTGTGTGTGTGTGTGTGTGTGTGTGTGTGTGTGTATATATATATGTGTGTGTGTGTGTGTGTGTGTGTGTGACATAGAGAGAAAGAGAGAGAGAGAGAGAGAGAGAAAGAGAAACAGCCTTTGAACAAAAGTGTATAATAACGAAATTAAAACGAAGAAATAGTAAATATTTATAACAAAAACAAAAAGAGAAGCACACCAGCAGAAACAAACATAAAAAAACACACAAACACACACAAAAAAACTATAACGATATCAAATAAATTCACAGATACATGTATATTGTATTTCCCACCATTAATCATTAATAAAACACAAACAAATCCGCGTAGGTGATTAACGACCAGCTGTTCGTCACGATCACTCAGGCCGTTAGCCAATCAGAGAGCAGTATCCAAAACTGTTGAAAATAGGTTTCCCCCTGTCACCTAATAAATGGGGAAGCGATTAAATTGCATAATTATTGTCGAATCACTGTTAAAATAGAGAGTTATTGGCCTCTAATGATGCTGAAAATATGGCCAAAAAAATCGAGGGGGTTGTATATTTGGTTTCGAAATTGAAGCATTTTTGGTTTATAGTTAAACCCATTAAAACGTTGTCTATAATTTGGTCATTGGGGGTATAAAATAATGGTACTAATACTAGGTATTAAAATGATTATATTAATTTTTATAATGTAATGAAATGTAATTATTTGTATTATAACTATAATAGTATATCGTGTATGGGGTTGTTACAGCATACAATAGACTACATAACTTGGTTACAAGCCATGTGACTGTGTATTAGGAATGTGCTCTCTTTCTTTCTCTCTCTCTCTCTCTCTCTCTCTCTCTCTCTCTCTCTCTCTCTCTCTCTCT